TGCCTCAGCCTCCTGAGTAGCTGGGATTACAGGCACGCGCCACCATGCCCAGCTAATTTTTTGTATTTTTAGTAGAGACGGGGTTTCACCATGTTGACCAGGATGGCCTCGATCTCTTGACCTCGTGATCCACCCGCCTCGGCCTCCCAAAGTGCTGGGATTACAGGTTTGAGCCACCGCGCCCAGCTATTTTCTTCATTTTTATATGGAGGAAATAATACCTACCTTGAAGGGTTGAAGTGAAGATTGTGTTAAAATAGGAAAAAAAATCCCTGATATATATCCAGTTTATAGTCGCTCTCAATAAATTACTGTTTATTATGTGTGTTATTACCATTGTCATCATCACCACTAAGGTATGATCACGCATTGGAATTTCACAAAAGTGATTTATGGAGGGACCCAGGCCCAGTCAACACTTTTTATAAGAGTTATGGACAGAATCCTCATTCAATGTGTTGCTCAGTGGATTTCTCACTCTAATCTTTTAGCTGGGTCAATAAGGCACATGCAGAAGGGTGAGCCTTACCTGTGGCAACATAGTATGCAGCAAACCCCGTAAAACGATCTTCATTGGAAAAGTCTGACCTAAAGATCACCTGCAGTTTGTTGTATGGGACTTGGAACTCTTCCACAATTGGAGAGTGGGGATTGCTACTGGTCCTCTGTCCGCAGAGCCTCCCTTCTTCAATGCCTCCTGACATTATCTAAGAGAAGAATCAGAAAGAAAAATCTAGGAAAGGGTAATATTTTGCTATGGAGACAAGAGAAAGGACAGAGAGAGTAGAACATTTTTGCCCCTGGGACTATTTGACTCCAGTTCACTGAGTGCCAGGCACTCCCTCCCACGTCCTTCCTCCACTACCTTAGCCCTAGTCTTCCATCTCTATGCTTTATGTGTTTATAACATACCTGCACTGAGTCATACGCACAGTTCTCTGACAGCTCTATGTCCAGATGGGTGAAGTAGAGGTGAATCCCGTGCCCTTGAGGAACTTCTATGTCCCAAGATTTCTCTACCTCATTGGGGTATGCCTGAGGATAGTTAGGGGAGAGGATCTCCCCATACATGGTAGGCTCAGCATAAACCCATGCCAAAAGGGAAAACAGAACAATGCACCTGAAAAAAAAAGAGGCACAGATTGGCAGGTGTCCCAAGCACCAGCAGCCTGGGATAGAATGCTCCATTTGTCAGAGGCAGAAGAAACGGGGAAGAAGAGAGGCAGTCAACAGGCTATGGGGGAGAATCTTACGTCGGAAAAAAGAAAAGGCCCAGGCCAAACCAAAACCCAGGCTTCAAATAGGAGCCCTTCTTTTTTTGAGACAGGGTCTCACTCTGTCGTCCAGGCTGGAGTGCAATGGTGCGATCTCGGCTCACTGCAGCCTCAACCTCCCAGACTCAGGTGATTCAACCACCTCAGCCTTTTGAGGAGCTGGGACCACAGGCAACACCCACCACGCCTGGCTAATTTTTTTTTTTTTTAA